GAACAGTGTTTTTTTATTAAAATAATATATTTTTTTAAAATATTAATTTTTTTAAAAAAAAAATATTTATTTTTAAAATTTATTTTATAACACAAATATAAGATTGCGCATTAACCAACTTCACAGTTGCATTAACCACAAAAATCTACATTATTAACCAGTTATTTTACCTTTAATTTATTAACCACTTTCACTACTTCATTAACCAATAAAATACACACTATTAACCATGTTCTGGGAAATTTGTTCAAGTATTTGTGAACAGTAATTTAGGTGTAGGGTGTAGAAATGGGTGTCAACATAGCAATCCTGTTAAGGGAAAATATATATTGACATTAGTTTCTAACACTACACCGTAAATGTATACAAAATATATACTAGTTTTATTTTTTAATAATTTATTTATATTGATTTTTGTGCAAACCATTTTAATTTATTACAATATATAGTATATAATATGCACGTGTATGGAAAAGGTGTCAAAATAGCACCCTCTCTTTTATTAATCACAGATCGCATATCTCTTCTATCTCTCTCTTCTCAACCTCTCTCTCCCTTAATTCTATCAAACCAAGCATAGTGTTAAACTTTTACTATGATTTGACTTGCTTTTCTAATTTAACCGTGAAGAGTCATAATCTCCACCTCACCCGACCCTCAAGACTCAGGCTATCACTATGAAACACAATTTGTCATGCAACTAATTCCTATTAAATATTATACAAAAAGAAGATACTATCACCATAAATTATTTAAAATTTTGACAAATAACAATCAATGGATTACATTAATGCCTATTACAAATCATGTAACATATTCATTGAGTATGAAAATCACTGTCAAGATTGTCAAAATATTATCTTTTAATCTTTTGTACTGAAACAAATAAGGTTGAATATTCCTATACACATATATACACATTAATAAGCTACATTATATTCCATCTCTTTCAAAATAATTTTCTTTTTAAAAAAAAAAAATTTAAATGAATGTCTTTTTCACTTTTCAATGTTGAAATGATTGATATTTTTTCATTTGTGTCCTTTAATTATTACTGTGTATACTACTTTCAACACATTGATAAAATTAATTTAATAAAAATTCAATGTTTTATGATAATATTATTGTATTTTTTAATTCGTGTACAAAAATCTTAAACGACAATCATTTTAAAGCGGAGCGAGTACTACATTATCCCTATCTCATTCACTCATAATTCATTTTAACCAAACTGTAAATTCAACATATATCAACTAATTTAAAACATACGACTTATTGATGGTATCTATTTTAAGATCAATTTAATAGGTCAACTTTGGGATGCAAATGAAATATCTTCGTAGCATACTCACCATCCAAAGTTCCAACCGACAATGTTATCTTTTGAAATCATTCTACAAAAACTATTTTTTTTCCACCCTATGTATTGCTACCGCACCATTTGAAATTCCACAAATATCCTCTGATTTCGGAGATATATCTCAAGATGCACCCAAAGTTTATTAAATGTTGGAATATTCCGGAGATATAACTCTGGACGCACCCAAAGTTCATTAAACTTTGGAATATTCCTGAGATATATCTCCGGAACAATTCAGAACTTAAAACGTGCCAGACTCTTCTCCTCCCTCACACTTCTCAAACTTTTATCTCAACATAAAATTGAAACTTCTTCACAGCATCAAATTTCATCAAACAAGGCTTAGAGGAACATCAAACATCATCAATAACAGCATGAGTTTTTGGATAAATTTTGAGTTTTTGTGTAAATGTGTAGAAATTAATGATTAGGGGTAGAAATGCGTAGGAATCGCATGTAACATAGTTTAGACTTAGTATATTACTTGTTTGTTGGCTCAAAATGGCGATCAAATCATGTTTTTTTAACTTGCATAAGCCACATTACGCCATTGTTGTGACTTTAGAGTTGCAGAACTTTCCGGAGATACATCTTTGGAATAGTTCAGCGTTTCATATACTTTGGGATATTCCGGAGATGCATCTTTGGAATATCCTGCTGTTTTTTTTAATAAATTTTCTTGTTTGTTTGTGTTGTCTGCCTGCACTAATGATACGTCATAATTTACCTTATAAGTATTATGGCTGACAAAGTCGACAAACTGAGACATCGTTGAGTTTTCCAACACACATCCGTCCGATGGGAGCGGAGCCAGCAAGTTCCAGAGGCAGCAGGTATTTCTAGTCAGGCAAAGGCGTCGACTTCTGGGGTGTACTTTACTCCTAGGGCTCGTCCTTCACCTCAGGTCACTCCATCTTCTTCTTTTTCCCTTAGGAGACGAGATTCACAAACTGACGTGTCACTTTTCCCATCCTCCCGTGAGCGTCAAGATTCACCAGTGCCACCTCTTGTTGATCTAGTGTCGCCTCCCGATGATGATTCTGTTGATCCAGTGCCATCTTTAGAGGGTGAGGATGCTGAGCCATAGGGATTTGGTAGAGGCGCATTCGATCTTTCCCTACTTCCTCTGAATCCAGACCACGGTGTCAGACATATCTAGGACAGAGAGGTAGCATTAGTTGTATTTTTTATTTATTTTTTACGTTCATTTAAATTGCTGACATTGATTATTTCTAACATTGATTATTACTAACATTGATTGTTTATGAATAATTTCAAGTGTGTGATCCCCAAAAGTTTCTGAACCATGGGAGAAAGACTGATGGCTTAACTCATCCTAATGAGGAATGTTTTTCAGTTGGTTCTGACCTTATCTGGGTTGAAGGACCTATGCATGACCGGTTACACTCTAGTCAACTACGAGATGCTTAATGCATTTGTGAAGAGATGACAATTTGAGACATTTTCTTTTCATCTCCCACATGTTGAGATGTCTATCACACTGGACGATGTCTCGTGTTTGTTACATCTTCCGATCAGGGGGAGATTTCTCGATCATGGTAGGATGACCAAAGACGAGGCAGCCAAGATGATGGTAGAGCATTTAGGGGTTGATCCAGGGAAGGCGATTGAGGATGTGGATAGGACCATGGGTGCTCATGCTAGGTTTGAATTCCTAAAGGATATATATAATGAGATTGTTGCTGGACAACAGGATGATGGTAATGCTGAGCAGGTGGAGGTACACAAGGCTCGTGCTTTGAGGGCATATTTTCTTTTTTAGTTGGCACTTGCATTTTTGTGGACACGAGTGTCGCTTATACAGACGTTGCATACCTTTGGTACTTCTTGGATCTCACTCGGATCCATGAGCACAACTGGGAGCGGCTTTCCTGTGCTATCTTTATTTGAAGTTGAGAGATTGGTGTCGGTGGAGGACGAATTAGGTCACGGGCAGCGTGACACTACCGGCGGTAATAATTCTTGATACTTGTTTTTTTTTCATTTCATATTTGCGAAACCAATGCAGATAATTCTTGATTTTTGAATTTCTTTCTTTTTATTTTCATTTCAGACTTGGATCCTCTAGAACTTCCCGCGCATCTCTGACTGGCGAGTGTGGACGAGTACATTGAGGACATGCCTCGTGCTTGTGCTTTTACCCCGCTAAGAGGGAACCAGGCGGTCGAGCCTTTCAGAGTCTACCTTGACCATTTGGTTGCTGAGGACGTGCACTTTAACAGTTACGTGGATCACTGTCAGACGCGATCATTTGACGACATAACTTTATACCCCGGATGGTTGGTCTGCTGATCACGTATCACTGCTCCTCATCTTCTCCAGTGCGTCATGCGGCAGTTCGGGTACACTTAGACCATCCTCAAACACCATGATGTCTTTGCTCCTCATACCTTGTCTCGTAGGCAGATAGAGAAGATGTTTGTTGATTTTCAGAGTCACTTGGTACCGGACGAGGCTCAGGCTACCATAGTGTCGAACGACTAGAGCTACATCGACAGATACATCAGGTGGTTCTTAAGGGTCTCACATCCGTACATGGTGCAGACTGCTCCAGGAAATCTGCCGAGACCAACTCATCAGAAGATCTAGAGGAGGAACAGGCTTAGCTAGATCATACTGAGGATGTCTTACCTCGATGTTGTCGCAAAGTTGAGATTATGCGGGCAGCCATTGACGAGGGTATCTTCCCTGAGGGGTATGTTGTCAGGAGAGTCTTGGATGCCATGGTGGTGGAGGCACAGAAGACACTGTTGTACCAGAGACATTGGCAGAGGAAGGGGGGTCGATGGGCAATGAGGCAGAAGAGGTAAAGAAGAGGTTGTCAAGAACACCCAGTAGTAGCCTATTATTGTTATTATTTTGATGTTGTATTATAGTTTATATTTTATTTCTGACATTGTTATTACATTTTTGAATCTCATGTTGTACGACATTTTACTATTATATTGCTATATTATTTTTCATACACACAATATTAGTCTTTTATTAATTTGTACGTCTATTTTTTATTCAAGATCATGCTTCATACTTCATTTGAAAACAAATACACAATTCGTTATAAAAAATAATTAAAAAAAAATTTGTTCTGATACATTTTAAAAATATATCTCCGAAACAATTCAAATATAAATGGATTATGAGTGACATGTTTTAAATGTTTAAACTTTAAATTGTTCCGAAAATATATCAGCATTTACTCAGAAATGGGGTGCATCTAAAGATGTATCTCCGAAAACAGAACATTTATGAAATTTCGCACGGTAAGATAGAAACATATAGGATGCAAAAAGAAATTACCTTCTACAAATTACTACAAACCAAATCACAGTTGGTAATCATATAACTATATCCAAATACATATGCTCTCTTATTATTGTTTAAGCAATAGAGAACACCAAATTATTCTCATTACATAATCCAAGAAGATGATAGATCAACATATATTCAATCAATAAATTAATTGGGGCCATCAACAACATATGCTACGGTAACCTAATTCACCTTTTAATCCTCTACAGAAAAAAGTTAGGACAAAGCAGAGAAATATCAACAGCTGAAACGCAATTACTTCAGCCCTTTAGAACTCAAAAATGAACTCAATATATTAACATCAGCTTTTTTAATTCAATTTCTCCAAGAGAATCTTGTTAAGTAGACCTGGATTTGCCTTGCCTTTAGATATCTTCATTACCTGCATTTGTACAAATGTAAATCAAACAATGATAATAAATGGAGGAAAGTAAAACATAACAATTGTTTCCAGATCTACAAATTCATACCTGGCCCGCAAAAAAACCCTGAAGTTTAGTTTTGCCTCCTCGATATTGCTCTACCTGTTTCGGATTCTCTGCAATCACTTTGTCCACCATTTTTTCAATTTCAACTGGATCTGCTATCTGTCATTTCCAAATAATTATCCAATGTAGTTGTTTAGAAGAGTGGAGATAGCCCTTAACGTTTGGTTAAGAATAAAGATAGTAGTTTGCGCTTTTATGTAGATTATAGGGCCTTGATGCGTGGCATGGCAGACAAAAGAACAAGGGAATATGCGTGAGTCATTTGTGGGGAGAGTGAGAAAATGAGGAATGGTACTGCTACTAACCTGAACCAAATCCTTTTTTTCTATGAGTTCCTTGACACTTCCACCCTTGGCTAACAGCTCAAATAGTATCTGCAAACACATGAACAAATTGTGAACATACAGAATGCTAAATAAGTCCAGAATAACAGATATCTGATTGTTTTTCTTTCTTTTCTAATCCATGCAGATAAATGAATGAAGCTGGCACTATTAGAATATTAATAGTAATTCATATTTATTTAGTTGTACTATTTTCTTAGCCCCTAAGTTTGTTAGAGGGTATTTTAGTATTTTATCTTATTCTAGTAACCCTAGTTTTAGCTTATAAATAGGGTGACAATCATTGTAACTTTTAATCCTGTTTTTCTGCCGTCATTCTTAATAGAATATTTCTACCTTTCATCATTTATTCTACCTTTGCACCAACAATTGGTATCTAGAGCTCCGGTTCAGATTCATTGGGAAACACGGGAAACACGAGTGAACGTGAGGTCTTGTGTGTTTGATTTTGATTCTTAAATTCGTGTTGAATCTTGAACAAAATCTGATCAGAATTTTATTCTGTGAGTTGGGAAACACTGTGTGAGAAATCTGAGTGTATTGTGCAAAGTAGAAGATGAACGGAAACGGCAACATGAACACCAAACTTCCAGTATTTGATGGTAAAAACTGGAATCGTTGGATGATCCAAATGCGTGTACTATTTGGTGCTCAAGATGTTCTAGATCTTGTCACTGATGGTTATGTTCCAGTAGCAGCAGATGCAACTGATGAACAGAAAAACGCGCAGAAGGAAGTAAGGAAGAAGGATCAGAAAGCATTGTTCTTCATTCATCAATGTGTGGATGTAAACGTGTTTGAGAAGATTGCAGACTCTACAACAGCAAAGGCTGCATGGGACACTCTGGTGAGATGTTATGGTGGTGACGCATCAGTGAAGAAGGTGAAGCTTCAGTCCTTGAGAAAGCAATATGAGAATCTCAACATGAAGAATAATGAGAAAGTTTCTGAATACATCTCCAGAGTGATTCTGATCACTAATGAGATGAAGGCATGTGGAGAAACTCTTTCTGAAGAAACAATCATGGAGAAAGTATTGAGATTCCTTACCTCTCAATTTGATTACATTGTGGTAGCAATAGAACATTCCAAAGATCTGAGTACCATGAGAATTGAAGAGCTGCAGAGCAGTTTAGAAGCGCAAGAGTTGCGTTTGACTGAGAGAACTTCTGAAAGGGAAGTAGAGCAGCAGGCTCTGAAAGCAACTTCTGATAGGAGGTATCAGAAGCAGTCAGAAGGCAAGAGAAGATCTGATGGTGGTCAGAAGTCAGAAACCTCAACCCCTGATAGAGAAAAGAATGCTCAGAAGGGAAAAGAGAAGTATGACAAGAAGAAGATCCAATGTTACTGTTGTAAGAAGTTTGGTCACTTTGCTAGAGATTGTTGGTCAAACAAGGAGAAGAAATCAGAAGAAGCAAATATAGCCAGAAGTTCTGATGACGAATCTGTGCTATTGATGGCCTCTGAATCTGATGATCTGACAGACTGGTGGTATATGGACACTGGCTGTTCAAATCATCTTACTGGAAACAAGAAATGGCTGGTTGACTTTGACTCTGAAAAGAGGACAAAGATCAGATGTGCTGATGACAAATATCTTAATGCAGAAGGTATGGGAAATGTTAGAGTGACTCTAACAATGGGAAAATAGCATTGATTCAAAATGTGTGGTATGTACCTGGCATCAGAAGCAATCTGATGAGTGTGGGACAATTAATTGAGAAAGGTTTCTCAGTTACCATGAAGGACAATCTTCTGAAGTTGTATGACTGTAATCAGAAGTTGATTATGGAGTCAGAACAGGGAAGGAATAGAACATTCAAGGTAATGTCAGAACTGCAGACTCAGAGTGTCTTAGTGCAACAAGTACTGAGAAGGAGAGTGAGCTGTGGCACAGAAGATTTGGTCATTTGAATTTCAGAAGCTTACAACATCTGAATTCAAAGAAATTGGTACATGAAATTCCTGCAATTAAGAAGCCTGAAAAGTCATGCAAAGTTTGCATGGAAGGAAAACAACCAAGATTGTCATTTGCATCAGAAGTTGCTCCAAGAGCAAAACATGCCTTGGAAGTTGTACACTCTGATGTGTGTGGTCCATTTCCAGTAGCATCAATTGGAGGGAATAAATACTTTGTGCTATTTGTTGATGAATTCACAAGAATGACATGGGTATCCCTTATTAAGTTCAAACACGAGGTGTTTGATGAATTCAAGAAGTTCAGAATGAAGGCTGAGAATCAGAGTGGTCAGAAGTTGAAGATTCTTAGAACTGATGGTGGAGGTGAGTATAACTCCAAAGAGTTCCAGAAGTTCTGTGAGGAGAATGGAATTGAGCATGAGGTTACTGCTCCTTATACCCCTCAACACAATGGTCTTGCTGAAAGAAGAAACCGTACTTTGCTTGATATGGTGAGAAGCATGCTAAAGGAGAAGAAGCTTCCTCAGAAGCTCTGGGGAGAAGCTGTTGCCACTGCAACGTATGTACTCAACAGATGTCCTACGAAGAAGTTGAAGGAAATAGTTCCTATGCAGAAGTGGACTGGAGACAAGCAAAGTGTTAGTCATCTGAAGGTGTTTGGTTCTGTTTGCTATAAACATGTTCCAGAAGCCAGAAGACAGAAGCTGGATGATAGAAGCAAAGTGATGATTCTGATAGGGTACCACAGTACTGGTGCTTACAAGCTCTATTGTCCAGAAACCAATAAAATTGAATTCAGCAGAGATGTGATTGTGAAGGAATCAGAAGTTTGGAATTGGGATAAGTCTCAATCTGATTCTGATGTTAGAACTTCTGAAGAAAGGTCAGAGTTAAGAATTTCTGAAGTTGGAGTAAATTCTGACGTTGATTCTGATTCTGATAGTGATTCTGACTCTGGAGAAGACTCAAAAGATGAAGGTGACTCTGATGATCCAGACTCTGATGGTAATCCAGATTCTGGTGGAAATTCAGACTCTGAAGATGGCCAAGACTCTGAAAATATGTCAGATCTTAAAGATGGTCAAAACTCTAGAGGAAGTCAACCATCTGAAGCTGGAAACTCTGAAGCTCAAGACTCTGAACAAGTTCAGAGACCACAAAGAATCAGAAGCGTTCCCAGAAGATTTGCAGAATTTGACATGCTGCAAGACACTGAAGTAGACTCTGAAGGAGAAGTTATTCAGTGTGCCATGATGGTAGACTCTGAACCCATAAGTACAGAAGAGGCTCTTAAGCAGAAGCTCAGGCTGAAGGTCATGAAAGAAGAACTTGATGCTATAGAGAGAAACAAGACTTGGAAGCTGACAGAACTTCCAAAAGACAAGAAAGTCATCAGCGTCAGATGGGTTTTCAAGCAGAAGTTAAAGCCAGATGGTTCAGTTGGCAAACATAAAGCAAGGTTGGTAGCCAGAGGATTTCTACAGAAACCTGGGCTGGATTATTCTGAAGTGTTTGCACCTGTAGCAAGACATGAAACAATCAGAATGGTGATTGCAATAGCTGCTAACAGGAATTGGCCTCTGATGCATTTAGATGTAAAATCTGCATTTCTGAATGGTTCATTAGAAGAAGAAGTTTACGTGTCACAACCTCCTGGATTTGTGAAAAAGAATCAGGAAGGGATGGTGTACAGATTATACAAAGCTCTATATGGACTGAAACAAGCGCCCAGAGCTTGGAATCAGAAGATTGATTCATTTTTCAAGAAGCAAGGCTTTCAGAAATGTGAGATGGAGTACGGTGTCTATGTTCAGCATACTTCTGAAGGCAATATGACTCTGGTATGTTTATATGTTGATGATATACTGCTGACTAGAAGTTCTGCACAGGAGATAGCCAAGTTCAAGAAAGTTCTAATGAATGAATTTGAAATGACTGATCTAGGCAAAATGACATACTTTCTAGGGATGGAGTTCAGATATTCTGAGAAAGGTATCATTTTGCATCAACTCAAGTATGAATTAGAACTTCTGAAGAGATTTGATCTGAAGAATTGTAAGATGGTTGTCACACCTTCTGATACAAATCAGAAACTGGATTCAGACTCTGAAGGAAAGGATGTGGACGCTACAACCTTCAAACAGTTGGTTGGTTCTCTGAGGTATCTGTACAATACCAGACCTGATATCTGCTACTCAGTTGGGATGATTAGTAGGTTCATAAGTAAACCTAAGTGGTCCCATTACCAAGCTGCTGTCAGGATTCTGAGGTATATCAAAGGAACTCTGAAGTATGGAGTGTTATTTCCCTCTGGAGTAAATAATGAGTCAGAACTTCTGAGTTATTCAGACTCTGATTGGTGTGGAGACAGAGTTGACAGAAAAAGTACCTCTGGGTACTTGTTCAAATTTCTGGGAGGTCCTATTTCTTGGTGTTCCAAGAAGCAACCTGTTGTGGCGTTATCAACCTGTGAAGCTGAATACATTGCAGGTGCTGTTACTGCATGCCAAGCTGTGTGGATTCTGAATCTGTTGTAGGATCTGAAGATTAAAGTAAGCAAACCTCTGAAGTTGATGATTGACAACAAGTCTGCAATCAACCTTGCCAGAAACCCAGTGCTGCATGGGAGAAGCAAGCATATTGAGACCAAGTATCATTTTCTGAGACATCAAGTTCAGAGTGGAGTGTTAGAAGTTGTACACTGCAGCACTCAGAAGCAGTTGGCAGATGTTCTGACGAAAGCTATCAAGACTGATCAATTTCTCAAACTAAGGGATGAAATTGGTGTTACAAGTTTTGATGGAATATGAATTAAGGGATGGTATTAGAATATTAATAGTAATTCATATTTATTTAGTTGTACTATTTTCTTAGCCCCTAAGTTTGTTAGAGAGTATTTTAGTATTTTATCTTATTCTAGTAACCCTAGTTTTAGCTTATAAATAGGGTGACAATCATTGTAACTTTTAATCCTGTTTTTCTGCCGTCATTCTTAATAGAATATTTCTACCTTTCATCATTTATTCTACCTTTGCACCAACAGGCACAACACATGAGTCTAACCATCGTATATTATCGTGTCAATCAAAACCTCATCATGAAATACATTAGTGAAGTCTAACTAACAAACAAACAAGGTATATATATACATGAGATGAAACAGAAAAGGGATGGAAAGCAAAATTTATGTTTAATGAATGTAATATATGCAAAGAAACAATTTTCCTGAACACTATATCTACATGATCCATTAAACCTCCAAAAACAGTGCATGATTCTAACAGGAACAGAGTATTAGCCCAATAATTAAACATCACTGTTGGTCAACATGTTTTATAAATTAAGCCCCTTGGTCCATAAACACACAATTAATTTGCACACAGAAAGTCTCTGGAAAAACTAATGAGAAAAGCTAAAAGATGTGAATATGATTAGACATAAGACAGTAAATAAGTATGCACTACTAATTAGTGCGAAAGCATACTATACCTCCTTCCCAATCTTGCCACTGATGATTCCACCTTTAATGGAACCTATCAACTCGGACAACTCTTCAGGTGTAAGCTTTATGTCATTTATGGTCAGCTTTTCATTTTTCATGAAGGCGGCAATGTCACTCATTATCCAGTTGGCAACCAGTTTTGCATCAGCACCCTTTGCAAGAGTAGCGTCAAAAAACTCTGCAATCTAACACATCCATTGACAAAATACAAATCATGTCAGACCACGTTGTAGTAATAAATAAACATAATTGGTGTTTATTTGTTAGCTTTCCAATGTACTGGACTTTATATTGAGTTCTCTTTCATTAAGCTGTGCAGCATTTTTATGACCATTGTGCATTTAAACAATAAAAAATTCTTTAGTGTTGCAAATACATAAAGTTTAAGTGTCTCGCACGCACCTTTTGCCTACATTTACAGAAACGCTCCAACAAAGGGTTCACTATCTCAATCAAGATTACAAATATAGAATGAAAGCTATAAAAGTTGTCAGTATCTGAATTGTTAGGAGAGATAGATAGGGGTGAGTTATTTAAGAGTAGACTGTAGAATAGATAAGGAAAAGGAATAAATAGAGGCAGGTAGGACCAAGGTAGTCAAAATCGAGATCCTATGCAGGATCGGAGAGGGGTCACAAGATCGTGAATCGGAGTATCATAACACGGATCGTAATATCCTACCAATTTCACAAACTGATATATATTGCATATATATTCATATAAAAAAACATAATTTAGTAAAAAAAATTCAAATCATACCCAAATTAAAGGAAAAAAGTTTAAATAAGGGAAAGGCTCAAAGGGTCTGTACTGAATGTGAATAAGAAAAAAATAAAAAGAGTGATGCAGAAATATTTAAACTTTAAAAACTTTAAAATACGTGAGAATAATAGCTATATTGGGAAGTTTCAAAAAAAATAATGAGTGTATTGGAAAGGTTTTAAGAAATTAATTGGAATTTAATTGTAATTAAGTGTGAGAAATAAATGCTGCACAGGTTCCAGCCAAAAATAACCCTATTTGAAAGTTTCAGAGCTGAAACAGAAGAAACGAAGATTCTACCGCTCCTACCGTTTTTGCACTGCGATCCCACCGTTATCACCTAAATCCGAGTTTTTGCTTTCATAGGATCGCCAAGCCTATCAAAGATCGTAAAGCAGAACCAAACTGCAAAAACAGATCGGTAAAACTAAAACAAACCATTCATGATTTGTACCAAACTGCACAGAACTGGCTCTAAGGTTCAGTGCACCAGGTTCTGAATTTTCAAATCAAACTGGTTCAAAACTGAATTTAACCTTTATAAACCAAACTGTTTTTTGTATGCGAATGAACTGTTGCTACTTTTGAACTGATTTTGGAGTTAAGAAACAAACTGATTTTTTTACATTTATGTCTACTCCAAAGTTACATTTTTTAATTCTTCTCTAAAGGCAGCAATTGAACATCAAAATCATTATAGTAAACAGTAGAATTCAGCTTCCATAAAGCAATCAAAACCAGATTTCCATAAAATTATATTTCAAGCAATTTTAAGCAACAAAGCTGAAAATTATTTCATTTTGTCCCGTTATTCTGCTCCAAAAATATAGTCTTCATATGAATAAAAGAAACACAAACTAAAATATCACAACAAAAATTACAGCCATATTCTGTTACTATTGCAACGAACAATCATTCATGTTTTTTGCAAGTGTCCATTGTTTTGCATTTCCATAGCAACAACAGCCAAAAAGTTGAAAATTAAAAACACGGCTAACAGTCCCATCCTAATGGCATAAGTATCAATCATCTACAAAGAATGGTACCAGTTCCACTAGTGATTGTCTTGAGAGCACAAGTGCACCAATTAAGTCACATACTCTAGTTCTGTGGCGTGGGATGCAATCAACACATGGTTTCTAAGGGGTCTAATTCTAATCTTATCTTAGTCATTTCAGGTTTATAGAGCTTGTTGGGTGTGATGATGACATTGGAAGTGTGTATCTTATTGAGCTTAAAGGAACTGGGACATTCTATGCTACGAATGTAATGGATAAGGCTTCTCTTTCTAGCAGAACCAAGCAAAGGCAGCACATGAGAAATGCAGAAACACAAACAAATCCAAAAATGCAGAAACACCGAAACAAGTACCAGAAATGCAAAAATGGAGAACCAATTAAACACATAAACACATAAATACGCGTTTAGTAACGCCAGAAAAACAGCAGGTAACTCACATTTTTATCATTAGCTAGGAAAAGAACATCTTGCATGCCTAATCCTATCTTTTCATATCTCCTACGTTTTTCTTCAGGAAGCTCTGGTAAACAATTTTGAATAGCATTCACGTATTCTTGGGAAAGGATTACTGATGGAAGGTCTGGTTCTGGAAAATATCGATAATCAGCAAGCCCTTCCTTTTTTCTCATTGTAATTGTTCTCTAAACAGAATAACAAAAGTTATTATTCTGTAAGAAAAAAAAGAATGAGGGAAAAGAAAGCTATCTTGTACCTGCTAAAACTCCTAGAATAGATTGTAAACAACAACAATATCACAACATCGTACTAACCTGAGAACCTTCTTCCCAAAGTCGAGTTTCCTGTACTATCTGATCTTCTTGACCTTGACTATGAAGTTGTACCTGCCTTGAGATTTCAAAATCAATAGCTCTGCTCATTGACGCAAATGAGTTCAAATTTTTTACTTCAACCTGCCAGAATAACAATTGATCATATTAGCATCTAAATAGGTAATGTATTGTATTCGTAATATTATATTGCAACATAAAGCTCGATTAATCTCATTTTGCGGTACTTCATTTCTATAGACAACTCAACTTTCTTACTCAAAAAATCAATTTGCACGAAATACTATTCATTGTGTTCTTTCATAGTCGACAAAAGCTCACAACTTTGTCCAATAACATATTTTCTCTGAAACCAAACACCAAATTAATCAGCTCAGATAATAAATTTCCTTTTCTACACAAGTGTAAAATATATCAATTTATAGAGAAAATGTCATTTCAAGGTAATTATCACCCTTGAAAAAAAAAAAGGTAATTAACACCCAAAATTTCTCATGCTTCACCTAATTACTTACAAATACTTCCACTGCACCCAAAACACCAATACGGTTCGAAAAAGCTAATAACTATTGTCTTGCTTACGCGACTCGGGCTTTGGAAAGAACAGAACCAATTATAAAATTACCTCTAACAGATTCCAGGTTTCTAAACTAATAATGAACAATTAGAATAAGGACAACATTGGCCAGAATCAATAAAGCTTCCAAGCAATTTCAATAGCAAGACTAACAAGCTACCTAATAATGAAATGGACTGCTGCGTGAAAAGATTTAATCATTTTTATACCTTTGTCCCTAACTTTGACTGCCCAATGGGTCGTACTGATACATTTACATCACATCGAAGAGAACCTTCTTGCATATTGCCATTGCTCACTCCCAAATACCTAACCAACCTCTGTAACTCTGATGCATATTCTGATGCTTCAATACCATTTCTCATGTCAGGTTCAGAAACTATCTCTAGCAAAGGTACCCCTGCCCTATTTAGATCAACCTGTGAAAAAATACCATCAAATTTAACATACTAGTATCATCGTCATAGATATAAAAGTTATCAAGGATTCGGTTATAATCATTCGGGAAATGAGCGAAACAAAGCATTTAATGATACAAAACATGCAGAATGCAGAAAAAATATATGAAACTGACCCAACTTAAGATTTTTCAAAATAATATAAATGTATCAATGAACAATTGCAGTCAATCAGTCACTCATTCACATTCACCACAAATTAATTGACAAAAAGAAATGTAAAACAGATAACATAAACAAATGGCATAAATAACCGAAGTTAATTAAATATCAAAACCTGAGAGAAATTTCCATTTTCAGAATGCATAAGCTTCCCTGCATCCTCTTCCATATGAACCCTTGTAATGCCAAACCTCTTATGCCCCCCACCAAGCCCCAAAGGAATATCAACATCAAGAAAACCCGCAGTCGCAATCGGAACATCAAACTGAGAAATCTGATACCCTTTTGGAAGATCAGGATAAAAATACTGTTTCCTATCAAACTTGGAGTTAAAAGCCAAGTTGCAATTAAGAGCCAGTCCCATGGAGGGGAGGGGAGGGTAGGGGAGGGGAAATTTTTAATTAAATATGTTTGGTTCAAATTTTAGGAGGGGAGGGGAGGGGAGCAAAATCCCTCCAAAACACACTTTTTGGTTCCCTCCGAATTGGGGGGATTTGGAGGGGAGGGGAGGGAATATCAGTTTTGATATTTAAAAATTATTATATTTACTAAAATATCCTCAATTTAATTTTATTATTTCAAAACTATTTGTTATCTTTTATGTTACTGTTTTTTCTCGATTGTTTTCATCAATTTATTATAATTGTTCTTCACCTTCAAATTATTTTATAATTTTTATAATTAATATAAATCATAATCATTGTCTTTTTTTTTATAAAAAAAAATTATGTTTCGTTATATTCGTTTTTTTCTTTCAATTTTGTTATGTACTCTATCATATTTTGTTTTATATCAAATTGTAAACCATATCATTTTATTTATTTTTGTTTATTCATTTTATTAAATATTTTGAACCATTAATATTTAGTAATAAGTTATTTTATATATTTGTTTTGTTATATGATTCATCACAATTTAAACGATGTTATTGGCATATAGTTTAATTTATGTTGGAAAGTTATAAGTCGAATCGATTATACTCAATTTTTTAACTTTAGTGACAAATAAATATTTTTTTAATCACTCAATATTAGAAATTTTATTACCAACAAAAATACGCACAAATTTTTCACATTTTAATATCATATGACTTATATAAGATCATAAGGATAAAAATGTAAATTATTAATAAAACCCCTCCACTCCCCTTCTGAACCAAACACATTTTTAATTAAAATCCCTCCCCTCCCCTCCCCTCCTCTCTTTTGAACCAAACACTTATTTGATTAAAAAATTACTTCACCTCCCCTCCCCTCCCCTCCCCTTCATTAAAATCCCTCCCCTCCCCTCCCCCTCATTTGAACCAAACAGACCCTTAGAGTTCAAACCAGGCAAACCCATACAAACCGGACAAATGCTACTGTTCGGAAATGAGCCATAATTGTAAGGACAGTTACAAAAGGCTTTGGTGAGTGTAGAAAGCTGAACATGAGTTTCGATACCAATGACAGCTTCGTAGTCTTTTGGGATTTTATCGAGTTTTTTTGATTGAGTAGTTGTTGGAACTTTCGTTTGTGTTGCGTTAGTGGTTGTGGAATAAAAGAAGCGATTTCTTGGTTTGAGTATTGAGGTTGGATAGAGTAGAAAAGGGTGAAATTGAAAGGTTCTGAAAATTGTGTAAGACATTGGAAAAATAGATAGGAACGAAGGAAGTAACTAAACTAAACCCCGCCTTAAAATCAAAGTTGCATAATCTCGATAACCCAAAATCAAAGAAACCGGATCTGCTACCTTTAAAGCTAAAAAGTACCATACCTTTGGCGCAATCCGCTCGTTGGATACATCGCACGGTGTAAATATTGCCTCGTGCTCAATTATTATTATCTTTTAGAAAAACCAAAATATAAAGTCCTTTTTTTTAATCTTCTAAACTTGTCCCTCCTTTTCATCCTCCCAATTTCGTCAAAGTTCTTCCTTTTCAACTTCTTAGCCTCATCTAAAGTCTTTCTTTTCATCTTCTCAGCCTCATTCAATTCTCAGCCTCATTCAAGTTATTCCCTTTGATCTTATAGTCTCATCCAAGTTCTTCTTTTTCATTTTCACATCTTCATTCAACTTCTCTTTCATCTTCTTAACCTAATCTAAGTTTATATATATATATATATATATATATATATATATATATATATATATATATATATATATATATATATATATATATATATATATATATATATATATATATATATATATATATATATTGAAATACTTGAAATGATGAAAACGAGAAGCGTACCTTTGAAAGAAGTTAATAAAATTAAGTTGACAATACATGAGCACAAGTCTTAGTGTGTTTATTAGTGAATTTAAAAAGATTTATCAAAGTATCACTTAAGAGAGAGTACATGAGCACAAGTCTTAGTGTGTTTATTAGTGAATTTAAAAAGATTTATCAAAGTATCACTTAAGAGAGAGTACATTTTATTAGTGTTTATATATTTTAAATGGGTCAATTAGATTGGACTCTAAGAAAACTGGGCAAGTGAGAACACACTATCATAAAACATGACACACGCATCTACGGCTGCAGTCCTCCAACTAGCCCGACTCGGTTCGGTTTTGAACTTGGACTTTGATCTAATATTTTTTGGTAGTCAAAATGATGAAAAATTATTTAATATTATTATTTAATATTAATTAATTTATTAATCTGTAAATTAATTAATTACTATTAATTAATAATAATGTGTTGTAATTCAATTACGAATTAATTAATTATTAATTAATGGATTAAATATATCAGAGTATCATTCAATTTTAATTCTTTTAAAAAAATTTTAAAGAATGGTACTCATAATGTTTTTCATTTATACTTTTGGTCTATCCTTCTAAGGGTCGTTAACAAGAGCTGATGTGGCAACTTTTTTATAATTGAATATATACATGGTTATGCTAACGTGGAAAAAAAGCTGACATGAATGTCTCGTAGCTAAAGTCAATATTATATTTGAATTTATAAAATTTTGTAGTTAATCTGCAACTAAAGTTATAGTTAATTTATAGCAAATTAAAAAGCCAAAAAATCTGCCAGCATAATTTGGTTCCTTTTTTGAAATTTGATTACCATAGATGTTCATTTTTATTTCAAATTATTACTATTATATATAGGTTGCATGTGGTGTAAGTTTGATTTTTGATAATACTTGTCTATATTAATGGTACTAATCCTTTAGAATGGATAAATCTTGTGACTTCGACTGCTACTCAATCTAGATGGCATTTCTCAAGTTATTTATGCGGACATTTTAGTATCTAGCCTCTTTGCTAAGAACAACTTTTCCAAAAAAGAATAACAAACTCTGCAAACATGGAACCACTTGAAACACTTAATTGGTCACGTTCAAGGTTTACCTAGTGCAGTAGACGTTATCAAGGAAGCTGCCAATGCATGGAATAGTCTAATTGCTTCAGTTGAAGAGCAAAAGCAAGGTCATGCAAATGATAGTTCAAGAGAAAAAGAGAAACAGTGTCCCCATTTTCTTAATAAAATGAATTCTTCTGAACTTTATAATAGTATTTACGGACTGCAAGTACCTTTTGGTCTGACACAGGGTTCTTCATTACTGTAATTGGCACTTTACATGGTATTATAGGTAATTGGCATTCCATAAAGTGCATTTACACTGCTTTTGAATTCCTCTATTTATTGATGTTTTATATGCCAGTTGATGAGCTGGAACAGTGCAATAAGATTATAGGCAAGAATATTAGCCAACTTTACATAGGCGACATGCATTCCCACACTTCAAGACAAATATTAGCTGCTAAAGAGCAATCAATTAAGAGAAAATACTTTTCTTTTAATCAAGGTTACCCATTTGTCGCAACTATTAGGGTGGGATCAGAGGGAATCCAAATGACAGTTAATGGAAAACGCATATGCAGGGAAGCCAACATCACTTTCATTTCATTAGCCAATAGTCTAGTTTTGGGTTTTGTTTGTTTTGATTTTCTGCATTTTTGTGTATTTTCTTGCGTTTTCCCGTCCCGCCGTCCCGTTTCACCTGTTTCTCGTCAGTCCGAGTAAAAAAAAACTCAGTTTTGGGCAAATCGCCTCCTTTTTAAAATCTGTTTCGTGCACTTGAAGCAGAAAAATCGCCAAATTCCTCTTTTTTCTATTTTTAATTAATTTTTTACGGTTTTCATAGTCTCGAAAAAATCCAAAAAAAATTTCAAAATTCTCATTTGACCTAATTAGGTTAAATTTTGTGTTTTTAGATTTTTTTTATTTTATTTTAACCATCTTCCTTCTTTGATTTTGATGCAATGATACATCCCATGGAAGAGCATCCAGTTTTTCAGATTGAGTTACTTTCTGACTTAGTAGACGATATATTTCTCGAGTTTTTATTTGATTTTTCGTCTTTACTAGACTATGATGATATTTTCTCCTGTGATTTGTGCACTAACACTAATGTTTAATCTTCTTGTGTCGAGATAAATGCTGCATTGCAGACTGATATTTTGTAGGTGGATAAGGTTACCGATGAAGTGGTTTGTGCGGTTGAGGCTATGGACGTCCCTGCTGCCCCAACCATCCTATCCATTAAGCAGCCCCCTTCTTTAGAACTCAAACCTCTCTCAGAAAATCTCAAATATGCCTACTTAGACATAAATGATAAGCTTCCTATTATTATTTCAGCTAACCTTGATTTCGATCAAGAAAGTAGGCTTTTGCAGGTTTTAAAGAGGCACATAAAGGCAATAGGGTGGACCTTGGCGGAAATTCCCGGTATTAGCCCTTCCAGGTGCATGCATCAGATTCTGCTTGAAGAAGGAGCTAAGGTAGTGAGGCAGCCCCAAAGGAGGCTTAATCCTTTAATTCTTGATGTTGTGAAAAAAGAGATCATATTCACGTGCCAATGCGACACTTTTACTTATCGAAGATTCTTCTTTGATCATGGAATAAAAGGCAAATGCACTAATAATAATTTCAAGTTTAATGAATGCTACCCAAAGCTACTGTATGAGATCCCCACTTTGGAAGAGGAGACTGAAGGAAATCTCTCTTTGAGAAAGGATGGCCATGTGATCACTTATCCACCTTGAATCCTCGGGTGTGTTCTTTCCTTTCTCTCACTCTTATTTTATATGTATAATCTTTCATTGTGGACAATGTATGCTTTAAGTGTGAGGGAGGGAACCATTTACTTTGTTTTATTTCTTTCAATTTTCTTTATTTTGTTATGTTTTCTTTAAAAAAAATTTACTTAGAACACAATGCATTTTTTGAAAGTTTTTGGGCTAGAGATCAATTTTAGGTCAGATTGTGGAGACATGGGAACAATTCATAAGATCGGTATTGTTTTAACACCTTAAGTCTCCCAAATATGGAAATCGATTTAATACTTGTTATGACATAGT